CCATCCATCCATCCATCCATCCATCCATCCATCCATCCATCCACACATCCATCCTCCTCCATCCTCTCTTGGAGGAGAGCTCCAAGCCCTGCTTTTATTCCAGGCACTCTCCCCCATGGGAAACTGAGGCACAATTTCATCATCCATCCTGCCATGCTCAGCTCACCCTGTGACCCATTTTGAGCACACTGTGCAGCCTGCAGTGCTCCCTACACGTGTTTGGAAACCAGATCTGGGACACTTGGGTTTCTCCCTCGTGCACGATGAATGAAGGCATCTAGGGAAGAGCTAGCAAAGTACAGCAGCTGAACCAGAAAGCAAGAATCCTCTTGGTGCTGGCCACATCCCTGTAGCATTTTAACCTACTTTAATGCACCTGGGAGCATCTTGCTAGCCTTGCATCCCTGTGCCTTGACCTCCACAGCCCAGATCCCAGCTGACAACCCGTAGGCGTTCAGAGTGAGCAGAATGGGAAAAAATGCCTATAAAACTCGAATCTGAGCCTGCGATGCCGTAATTCCCTGAGCTACAGCTTGCTGGTGCCTGTGTGAGTGTCACGCTGGGAGTGAGGGCATGCCTGGGCTACCAGCCAGCCAGATGGGAAAGCAGTGAGTCACGTCTCAGCCCCACCGCAGCCCGAGATGCTGGAGATGTGCTCTCTGCTGCATGTTCAGCTCAGCCCTTCACTGGCCAGCTGTTTGGCTCTGCTGCTGTCCCCACATGCAAGGTTGGCTGCAGCCACGCTGAGGCCATCTGCTCCCTGGGAGCAGGAGGAGTGACACGCCACTGTCCTTCCTGCACAAGCTGCATTGCTGCTTCTGAAAGCACATTATGAGGTTGGTTGCTGGGAAATAAAAGGAGTCCATCCTGAGGTGGGAGCATCATGGTATGTGTTGTGGCTCTTCCACCAGAGCAGCATGGGGATGTTGGCAGGGTTGGTTCCAACCTGTGCCATGATGGGACAGACGGGGAGGCTTGGAGACCCTGCAAGGGTGAGGCTCATTCCCTCTCTGCCCCCCCCAGCAGGGAGCACAACCGTCCCCATGGCATCAGGGCATGGGGATGAGGATGGGGGTGAGGGGGTGAGGATGTTCCTTTGCTTGTGAGACCCCCACAGAGGGACGGCCCAGACTTGTGGAGCTGTGGGACAGCGGGAGGGGCTGGATGAGCCATAGGGGCCGGGGGACCTGTGGCACAGAAGTGCGTGGAGGGGGGATACAGGGAGAGATGGAAGGATAAAGGGAGGGAAACAGGGTGGGATGGAGGGAGAGGTGGAGGGATGCAGGGAGAGATGGAGACAGGCAGGAATCGATCCCACTAACAAAATCAATTATTCATCGTGTTTCTCATGGAAGGGCAGGGCCGGGAGTAGAGACCCCCACGTCGGGAGGAACCTGCCCACCTTCAAGTTTAAGGCTCCCCTCACTCAGCCAGCTCTATGCAGAAGGGAACCTCCCCCCAGAGGGTGGCCGGTGTGGACACATTCTCCCCGTTCCCCCAGCACCGGAGCCCGAGCACAGGCAGCTCCCAAAGGGCGAACGAGTCCCGGCTCCGTACTCTGCCCCGACGGGAGCGGCAGGAGGAGGGGGGGGGAGGGGGGGACGGAGAGACCGTATCCCAGCTGCTGCCGCGTGCTTGCGGGTTTTATCCCTTCTCGGTGGGGAGGGGGATTCTTGGCGTTTCTTAGCTTTATTTTCGGGGTCTGCGAAGGGCTGCGGAGCTTGGCGAGGCGGCGGTGGGTGGGTGGTGGGATGGGAAGGGGGCGGCCGTGTGGAGGGGGAGGCTGGCAGAAATGCTAATTCCTCCCTCCTCTCTCGGCTCCGCAGCCCCATTGCCAGCCCGGCCCCGCTCCGGTGCGCAGCTCCGAATCCGGCGAGGTGCGGGGTGCCCCAGGCACGCCGAGCCCCTCACAGCCGCCTCTGGGCGCCTCCGGGCTGCGGGGAACGGGGCTGGGGAGGAGGATGCGGAGGAGCGGCAGCGGAGGGGAGAAGAGCTGCGTGTTGCTCAGCGGCACTTAGGAGCGGGTAAGGTGCGGGGTCAGCTCCCGGTGCGGAAGGGCTGAGGGGGGAACAGCGAGAAACGCGGGGGCCCCCCCCCCCCCCGGGGGGGGGGGGGAATTGGGAGAGATGGGAGAAAGGGGAAATAGCGAAGGGGAAAAGTAGAAGGAGAGGGGAGGGAGAAAAGTGAAGAGGAGAGAGAAGGGTGGAAGGAGGAAGGGAGAAAAAAAAAAGAGAGAGAGAGAAATAACAGAAGAAGATGAAACAGGCAAGAGAAAGAAATAAAAAGAAGGGAGAAAACGAGATCTGGGGGAGGAAAAGCAATAAGAAAGAAAGCCGGGAGGAGAAGGAGCGAGGGGGCGGGCGGGGATGCTGCGGGGGGCCGGGCACAGACAATGGGGCGCGTCCCCGCCGCCTCTCCCCGGGCGGCAGGGAACGGGGCGGGCACCCACCCAGCCCTTGTGTCCCTTGGCAGGGGACATGGCCCCGGTGCTGTGGTTGTGGCTGGCAGCCCTGCTGGGCTCAGCCCGGGCGTGCCCCGAGCCCTGCGCTTGTGTGGATAAGTATGCCCACCAATTCGCCGACTGCGCCTACAAGGATCTCCAGGTGGTGCCCACTGGGCTGCCCTCCAACGTGACCACCCTCAGCCTGTCGGCCAACAAGATCACGGCTCTGCAGCGGCGCTCCTTCGTGGAGGTGACCCAGGTGACGTCCCTCTGGTTGGCGCACAATGAGATCCGCGCCATCGAGCCCGGCGCCTTCGCCATCCTGGTGCAGCTGAAGAACCTCGACATCAGCCACAACCAGATCGTGGACTTCCCCTGGCAGGACCTCTACAACCTCAGCGCCCTGCAGCTGCTCAAGATGAACAACAACCACATGGCTGTGGTGCCCCAAGGGGCTTTCCACACCCTGAAGGACCTGCGGTCTCTGCGCATCAACAACAATAAATTCACCACACTCGCCGAAGGCATCTTCGACTCGCTCAGCTCCCTGTCCCATCTGCAAATCTACAACAACCCCTTCGAGTGCTCCTGCAAGCTCCAATGGCTCAAGAAGTGGATGGACAGCACGCTC